CTCTGTTGGTTATTCAGGTTTTATCCAAGAGACTTGTCATACAATTTCTTCCCCTCCTTAGTTATCTTAGATACCTATTTCCTCTCCATTGCCTTGGGATCCTACCATCAGTCAGCATCTGTTTGAGGCAGTACAAAATATTCTCTCCCAGCAGGCCATCAAACCTGTCAGTTATCTTTCTCCAAGTTTTTATTCCAGGCTGTTTGTAGTACCCAAGAAAACCAGAGACTGGCAGCATGCGATCAAGTTGTCCCACCACGATCAATTTTTGGTTCTATCCCGATTTACCACAAAGTCTTTTCTCACACTCAAGTGGTCTTTTTCTCTGGGTTTGTGGATGACAAAGGTAGAAGTTGCAAATGCTTACCTGCATATCTTGATACCTCATCAGTCGAGACACTATATTTGGTTCATTCATCACAGGTAGTTTATCAATTTCGCACCCTGCCCTTCAAACTTGCTTTGGCCTGGTATGTCTTTTGTTGGGTTGTCAAGGCATTTGCCCTATATTTACATGCTCTATGATTGCGTTTCCATCATTACATGATCAGGGGTCTTTGTCTCCTCAATCGCGGATTATCAAGCTGCCTTATCCCACACTTTTCATTTTTCCTGGTACCATAACATTTTTACCTCTCCTACCCTTTCCATCTTGTTGTGTTCTTTCCAGATTAGTTGTCAACTTCGATGTGCTGTCCTGCAGGGTTGGGATATTAATGTGGTTCTTCCCTGCCTCAGTTTGAACTGCTGTCCTCATTCTTGATTTTCCACTTATCCGTTAAGACTTATTTCCTTCTCCTCTTAGCCTGTGGATATCATAGGTCAGATTTATTTGCTATCGACATTTCATGTACTCTATATCCTTCCACATATAGTCTTCTTTATCCAGATCGATCTTTCCTCCCCCAAACTTCAGCAGTTCAGGAGGGTAATTCCTCCTTCTCACCGATTTCCCTTCCTTCCATTTCCCACCCTTATCCTCTGTCAGATCCAGTTCCTGTCTGTGCTCTTCATTGTTATGTTGGATGAGAAGACACCCAGAACAAAGTATAGGAAGAAGACAATAAGGAAAAATAAGCCAATTGAATTAAAAGCCAAATCCAATTGGTCAGAGTGGAAGGAGAAGGGTCACGAACAGAGGATGTCTGCCAAGGAATGAATAGGTGGGAAGGGGAGCCACAGAAGGAAGCTGTGCTGGAGATTGGGCACTTTACCTTTTCCCTGGCTTCTCATCTCCATCATCCCTTGGAGGAAATTTTTCAATCAGGCAAGTGGACTACTCCACATACATTCTTATCTCATTATCTGCATTGGATCACTATATCTTTATTGTTGGATTATTGTTTTCCACCTGTAACCATACTTCAGACTTTGGTGAGACTGTGACTGGGCAAGTTATCTTTTATATCTATAGTTCTTTTTCAGGGGCTTTTCCCTTTTTCTTTTTCACTGTCTGGATCCCACTCTGTGACAAGTGGTGCCTAACCAGGTATACTTAAGATAGCAAATCTGCACTGTAAGGCCATGATGACTTAGAAATTATAATTTCCATGGCCACTAAATGCATACTGCTGAGATGGGGTGTTCCACAAGATCGCTTGTAGGTTTGTCCTCACAATATATTTGCTTCATTAATATGCCTGTCCCAGGTTGTACTCACCCATGGACTACATGGGTAAAACAGAAGAGGATAGGTTCCCATCCCTGCCATGCCTTAGCTTGGATAAATCAGGTGTGGTCTGTTTTTCAAACATAGGGTTTTTGTGGTCACCCGTTGCACTGTCTCAGGTGTTGTCGTTCCTCTGGACTCTCCACTGCAATTTCTCCCCACTTTTCTTCTAGTGGAGTATGGGAGTCCTTACCACTTTCCAGTTCCAAGCCACTGGGGTTGTGGACCATGAAGGCATCCTTCTGAATATGATAATGATAAAATATACATATAATGATAAAACCATTCAGTTGAAAGTATGGCGGTGGTGTTCTGCTGGTGTAGATGACAAGATGTTCCCCACTATGTATAATTGCAGTGAGCCATCAAAATTGCAGTTCACCCTTTCGATTCATATCCAACATAGATGTCAGCTCCCAATGGCTGGATTTTGGATTTAAAGCTGAACCAATCAACGTAAGTCCTCACACATGCATTACGGGTGTCACACTCAATTATACTCTTGTTCCTCCATCCATTTTGTGGGTCTCGATGGAGGTACTTGCAGATTAATATGGTTCTTCCTCTTACACTATCCCTTGATGATTCTATTATTCTGAGGATGTTATTGCACTAGGGTCAGTTCCTGAGGGAGGTGGTTTACATTACATAGACATCTTTACGATACCGGAAGTCAGGTTACTGGATCGGTCAATAAATTTCTCACATTTTTATTGTGTCCCGTTCATGGATTGGGGGGATACAAGATTTCCTCCTTTCTGATGAACTTGAGATGAGGACAGTTTGATCCTCTTTCCTACACCCACCACATGGCTGGGTTTGGGATTGTAGTTGATTTGCCGCTGGTATGATTCTCTATCCTACCCCCACATGGATGTCGGTTCCCAGTGGCTGGGTTTTGGATTATAGTTGACTTGCCATGTATGGTCCATCATGCCCTAGCCAATCTGCATCTGGAGGCACACTGATGTACTCTAAGGGATTGAGATTCCAATATTGTGTGGTTCGGATTCCTATCCAACCATTGTTCTCTCCCTTTTGGATATGCTCCTCCCAATTTCTGCTCATGTCTGCAACACCTCTTTCCACACTGGGTGAAGTGTATACCCGGTTCAGAAGAAGTGTGGTCTACTGTGAGAATTTAATCTGTTAGGGTGTCCTTCAGATGCTTTTGAAGATTGCTTCTTTTTTACTCTCACCCTGGTCCCTCCACCTATTCAATGTGGGATTATAGCTATTTATGTAAGTGGAGGTAATGTACCATATCAGAATTTATAATTTTCCTATACTGAAAATATATTTTCAATAGGTAATTACATCTACTTACACTTCCCATCCTTCCTCCCCACTTAAAACTAGTGATAATTCTGTAAAATCGAATAGAGGGAGTCACGTGCATCAAGAGAGTGTGTTTCACTCTTATTGGTGGAGGGTTGTCACATGATGGTTTGCATGCAAAACACATTTGAATCAGTCAATTGTAAGGTACGTGGAAGCTCAAGGCTTGTAACATGCGAAAAAAGTTTTGCATATAGAGGGCAGCACCAAACAAGAATAATTATTTATGTGTGAGGGGGTTAGTACCTATCGAAAATATATTTTCAGTATAGGAAAATCATAACATCTATAATAGCATTGTTTCTACTAGGTTCCTTGACTCATTGGTGTAGAAAAATCATCTTGAACAGTTTCGAAAAAACTTTTCTCCCTCATGGTTTAACTGTAGCATTTCCCATTCTATATGCCTGAAATTAAAATCCCCCATATTTATGACCTTATTAACAGCTGAAATGTTAATCTCACTGTGAAGTTTCTCATTAATTTCATCAGTATCATCTGCTGGTCTGTAACATATTCCCACTAAAAGCCTTTTCCATTTATATCCACTGATTTAAACCCAAATGGATTCAATCTCCTTGCTATTATCTTTGATATCCTCAACTTCAACAACATGTAACTCGCATTTTATATATAACGCCAATTCTCGCCCTCTCTTTAGTACTCTTTCCCTATTAAATAACATATAAATCGATATTTCAAAGAAATTTCTTTCATTAAAATCATCTACATTTAACCATGTTTCAGTTATTCCTATTATATCAAAATTCTCCATTCCTACCAGTGCTTTATTTTATTTCTTATACTTCTAACATTACAACAGTGAAAGTTAAGCCTATCCTTAGAACTACATCTATACTCATTTCCTATGCTAAATTTTTCTCTACATCTTTTATTTTTTTGCATTTAGTTTATCTTGGCCTTTATCACTGTCTAGTCCTAGTTTAAAACTTCCCTTACAGTATAGTTAACAACCCTTGCAAACAAGTCATTCCAAAAAGCTCCCTTCTCCCATTGAACTGATCTCAAAGTCCAACCAGCCAATCTGCTCATCCTTACATATTAACCTAAGCCTAGCATTTAACCCTAGTGATCTGCTCATAATTTCATTCCCACAATTAATTCTCGGCAGTATTTCTGACACACTTAGTTATGGCCTCTTTCTGTAAATGCCTTTATCAACCCCTTGTACTTATTAATTATCTCCTCTAACCTACCTTTCCCTACATCATTAGCCCCTATGTGCAGAACAAAAACCACATCATTGCTAGCCCCTTTATTATATCTCTTGTTCTGTTAGTGATATCCACCACATGTGCTCCTGAGTAGCATAATCTAATTCTTTTCTCCATACTTACCCCACAGACTATCCTATCCACATGATTTGGCAAGGAATCACCTACAACTATAATCTCCTTAAGTTTATATGACCCTTTTGTTTTCCTTCTCTCCAATAGTTCCTCATCTTCACAAGCCAAGGGCTGAAATCTGTTGCTCAATAGAATAGGCTTATTACAGTTATATCCACTACTTTTAGCCCTTATAACTTCTTGAAAGTCATTGTTAGCTGATGTATCCCTTACGTGTAAAAGCTTAAGTTCCTCCTGAAATCCTGCTGCCATTTTCCACAGTCTACACTTCTCTTTATCTATTGCCTCTACTTTAACTATGATAGCCTCCAACTTCTCCTCTAACCTACAAACTCTGCATATAAATTCCACATCTTCACTACTAGCTTCCTTAAAAGTACATAACAGTTCAAAGTTCCCAAATAAAATCCACCCATCACACATGCCAAGATGTAAACACTTAACTCCTACACTAGTCTTAACTATTGTATTTGTAGCCTGGAAATAAATACTCAGTACTGAATACCAAGATAAATCAGTATAGAGAAAAACGTATTAAAAAAAAACAGTTAAGAAACTACACACATACAAATATTAAAACTATTCATTTCAATACCAGTCCTTGATTTTGTACGTTTTTATAGACAAAGATACTTGTTGTACCGTGTGTCGCCTCTACAGAAAATATTTTGGAAAGAATTATGTTGGACATCATCATCCTCCGTTTACAGTAAGTAGGTTTCTTTCTTAAATTTACCTCTGCATCTAAAGAAAGGGAAAGTATACTAACAATATTTTAACTACAAGACAATCAGCTAAAATTACACATCTGTTTGTTTGTAATATGTTATTATGCATTATGCCTTACTATTATGCATATGTAGCACTTTTTTATTAATGCAAACTTTATGCGATTATGAATTAATTTTTTTCCAAATTTGTTAGCTCTAAATAATGAAAGTTTCTCTTCAAATATAAAGTGAAAATGAATAAAAACTTATTTTTAAAATGTCTCAAATTTTTTCAAAAAGCTTAATTTCAGCATTAAAAGAAAAGCTAAGAATCATGGTAAAAATAGAGCTTTATCTCATTAAATACATTTAATTAATAAAACCGGTAACAACAACATTCCAAAGTTTGAAGAAAAAATGATATATAAGTAATGACAGTTCCAAAACATATTAGGTAAATTAACAGTTTGAAAGTTATGGTACATTCTGTCATTTTTTGTGATTAAAAACAATCTTGCTTGAATAGATTTTTGCTACACTTACTCTATATATTTTACTCTCTCACAATTATTATTTTTGTCTTTCTTTAAAGTCAGTTGAGTTTGTTTGCTGTTAAGCACACAGCTACAAAATTGGCTATGTGCACTATACCCACCACAAGTATTGAAACCCAATATTTAGTGTGTTATAAATCTTCAGACTTATTGCTGAGCCACTTAACATGGATTCCAAACCTTTCCAGTGATATGGCAACCTTCTGTTGTCTTTTCTACATCTATGTTTGTGCAAATTTAATAGCCATACTGGTACAAAATGTATACCACTCCATATAATGGAAATCTGATGTGCATTTTTAGCATAAGTGACTTATATGGAATTAATACATTTTGAGAGAGAGAAACAACAACAAAAGCTGACTAAGAGCTTCAAATCTAGTTGTAATTTTACTAAAAAATATTTTTGTGACATGACAACTCCCTAGTAAAAGCAAGATATATTTATAGCAGATGTCACCAAAATGCACTTTCAAAAAGTGTAAAATTTAAAATATGAATATGTAAGGCATTTATATATATATGTTCAATTTTTTAATCTACAGGGAAAATCTCAAGTTATTGGTCCTACTTTGAAGACTGGACATCAGCCTCGAAGTATTTCTCGTAAGTCTGTTAATGTTTACTCAAAAAAAAGTAATTAATTATTTTATGGGATAGTTACTCTAATTTAAAATGTTACTACTGAGTAGATATAACTTGTGCAGTTATAATAGGGACTTTTTTTTTTAATAAATGTATTACATACAAAAAATTAATATATTGTCACATGGATCTGTTTTTAATAAAAAATGGTACCAATGTAACCAAAAGTGCATGTAACAACATGCATATAAACTATTATTAGAAGCACTTAGATGGGAAATTGTTAAAAATAAAATACTGTCATTCCTCCATTTTATGTATTGAATCAATAGAACAATTATTGTGAATGCACTCTTTTCTCATGTTACAAGTAAACTTGCCTTTTTTTAGCTAATAATAACCGTTGGCGTGCTCATTCTGCAAGTCCTTGGCGAGAAGATTCTAAAGGTTATTTTCCAGCTGATCTTTCTGTAAGTATTTTAAAGAAATATCAGCATTTGTTGTTTTAAGAAATTTCTTACATTTTAATTCTTAAGTATTGAGTTCTTTTAAGTGATTATTGCATTTCAAACTTTGAGTTTTAATTTAATTTTTTAAGTTTCATCCTTTGTTTATGATTATTTTGTTGAATATTGTTTTCTCTTTCCTGCAAACATTATGCTTTTAATTGTAAATTAGTATCTTTTCTTGACTCTGAATATTGCATTTTTAAGTATTGTCCTTTTATTTGCGATTGATTTTAACTATTGAGTATGGTGCCATACTGCCTGTAAGTTTTGTAGTTACTTGTTATCTAGTATATTCTTCTCTTGTTTACACATTTTCTTATTTTAGTGCTCTAATTTCTCTTCTGCAGCCAATGGCATTTTGTAACTACATTATATATTTATCTACTGTCTTTAATGTCTTGAAGTTTCACTAGGAAATTTCCGTCAATACTTGTACAAAGCATACCATGTTCTATGTGGTGTATGAATACTTCTTATCAAATTTTATTATTACATCTGTTGTTTAAAAACCATAAGAAAAATTTCTTTAAACACTCATTCAGTAGTCTTGGAATTAATATTAATTTTGTTTTCCATGCTTTGCTACAATAGTTTTAGTTTATAGAGGGTTGAGTATGTTATATTAAAAATAAATTTGGATATACAGATTAGCAAGTCATGACAATTTTGGCATTTGTAGTTAGTGTGATGCAACCAAAAATTGATTGTTTTTTGGGAAGAACATCTAAAGAGTTTTTCCAATACAAAATATTCATACACTGATATCGAGGATTTACAACAGGTGAGCATCCACAAACACAAAAGTCAGTGGTCAAAAATATTCACTTTAATAATATGGTAAGGCTCCAAAACCATTTTAATATAACACACTCAACCTTTTGTACACCATTATGTACTAATAAATACTGTTTTGTGCCACACATTGGTAAAATAAAAGTTCTCTTATAATTATCTGGAATTTAAAGGTATTCTAATTTATTATCAAAACTGGTGACTAACAAATGATGTAGTTAATTAATTAAACTACTGGTGTAATTAACTGTAACAGACATCTGGAAGTTAATATTGACTTTTAAATTAGGTTTATTTTTTTCCCAGCAGATAGATTCAATAGCAGACAGCTTCAGGGATATGAGCTTTGAGTCAGACACACTTAAAAAGAATAAAAGGTTAGGAAAAGTTTTGTGAAGATTTTTCTTTTATAAGATGAGGAATATTTTTTGAATAACATTTTGTAATCTGTGGAGTCTTCTTGTTTTGAGCACACAGAAACTAAGTAAATCCTAATTTTTTTAGTTCACTTTGAAATGGATATCATTCATAGTGCTGTATACAATCACTTTCATACTTTTACCCTGAAAATGTATATCCTGTGAAAGCTTTGAGATAAACAGATGTTAAAGTCATCTATGGAATTTTTTCCATTGTTATTAAAATATTGCAAAAAAATGTTGATCAGTGGCAGAGCATTTATATGTTTTTAGTGACCATGTTTCCAAAAGATACCATTTCTGATATTTTTGGTATAGTGAAATAAAATTACAATTAATATATTATTAAATTTCAAATAATAGCTATAGAAGTTCTATTTTGGCATTAAATAAGCTTAGGGGAAAAAATATGAGTTAGACTGGGTTTATTGAGAGTAATTTAAATTAGGATTAGCTTCCATTTGGTTATTAATGAAATTCTTAAAACAATTGATAAGAAATCAGTTTTTGTGACCAAAGAATTAAATCTCAACTTTTCTTTCACAGCATGTCCAATCTAAGTAGACACGTGTATGAATGGGAAGATAATACAGAACTTTCCCCCCCAAAAAAGTCTACTAAAGTTTTCTTTGATGACAACTTAGCATTAGAAGACTCAGATTTAAGCTACAAGTATCTTCCATCCAGATCAACATACCTGTATGACAATCATTATGTTTAACAGATTGGGTAACTTTACGAAGAGAAACATTACAAGTGTTGTATTTGTTTAATATTTATTTGTAATGTCATTAACCCTGAGATTCATTCAAGTACATTGTCATTTTGAAGTGGTATACGTTTGTTGTGGCTTTTATACGTACACTCAGGATATGGTAAATGGTTTTGACTAAACATTTTGAAACCACTAAACTTTTCTTGATTTCTGTGAATTTGTATGGTCTACGAGTATGGTATGTAACCTGGTTTGTTTCTTATGGTGTTTTAAAATTATTATTTAATTACCGTTGTATTATTGTTACTAGATAAACTAGTTCAATGACACATAACATCTAACCTAAAAACATTATTTTGGTATTAAATACATAACAACAAGGATAACTTTATGATTAAAAAACAAGCAAAAAACAACACCTGTATATACCATACAACTAGGAGGAACACAGTGGTATTAAGTAGAACTGTTGATTACACAAAAATAATATTAATGTGAAAACAGTTTAATAACAATAAGCAGATATATTTTAAGTACTTCAGAGAATTACTGATTTTTCTGCACCTTGTCACCATCTCACAATCAGTCAACAAACACAAAGTATTAGTACAAGCCTATGGTATAGTGTTGAATTTGCACTTATGAGATTGGAATTACAGGTAAATGTTACTTTAATTAAATTTAAACATCATTATATATTATAATAATTTTATTTAATAGACTTCTGTTTATTTATTGAGAACTTTTTTTTCAGTATGTATTATCAGAGTACCAAAGAAAATAAAATTGTATCATTTTAATAATTTATCTAATAATTCAAGTTTAGCATTTATTGACTGTATCTACAGATAACCAGTTTCTTTACACAAGTTACCTAAAGCCATGGCTCTTGAGCTTGTTGTTCATGAGCATTCCAGGTCTGCAATGGTAAAGATCAAGTATCCTGTTATAGTTGAAAAGAAAATTCTATGTTCAGTCTGTAAGATTATCTTTAGTTTATGAAGGGTTCCAGGAGAGAACTTAAAAGTTGTATAAATCAAGATGATGCCCTCAATTATAAATAACACATTACTAAAAAGTTAAAGACCACTGATGCAACACTACATTAAATTTCACTCTTTAAGCATAGATTTTACTAGAAAATTTTGGATGCAAGCTTTCGAGTAATATAGGCAAATTTTTCCAATAGTTTAGGTGCAAGATATTAAGGTGACTAAAATAATCTTTTACAATGTTATTTAATTTCTATGATTATTTATCAATTAAAATTTTAATGCAATAATTATTTTACTTAAGTAACTAATCTCTGTTCATCTTGTTGTAAGGCAGGTAAGTATTCTTTGCAGTGTAGGAAGTAATGAAGCTGTGCAATATCCCATTCTGTGACACCAAATCAAAATGCTGCATAGAAATATATTTTATGCAGTTGTTAAATATTGTCTATTATTTGGCTGTGGTGATAGTGTTAGCGGAATAACAAAGTCCACATAAAGAATTAACTATTTCCTTGTTATAGTTTGGCTAGAAAGTGACATTAACTCTTTTCAGACGAGTCATGGGTGAAATGCCATGTCATATAATTTTTCATTCACTCGCATTCAAAATGTTATTGAACTACTATTTCATGAATTTATGTCAATAAGTTTGGTATCAAACTGTAGATTACAATTCAAATTTTAGTACTATAACTTACTCAATTTCTTAATTTAAATGTAAATATTAAAAAACAGTTAAACATCAAACACTGGTTCAAATTAGAT